ATGAGAAACAACCAAGTGACCCTAGAATGATCATCAACTATTGTGAGAAAGTATCGGGCATTCCCAAGAGTGGGTGTTTTATATGGCCCCCACATATCCATATGTAACAAATCAAAATTATGCTTAGAATCTGAAGTGCTATAAGGAAAGGGTAACCAGGTTTGTTTAGCTGAAGGACACACAAGACCATGAAATGAGGGTAATGCAGTGTGTTCAATAGACTTAGACAATATAGGATGAACAAGTGGCAAGGTTGAATAAGACACATGTGCTAACCTTTGATGCCATAATACAAATTTGTGAGATAAAGATGTAGTCATAAGTGAAACAGGAAAAACATGCCTTTTATTCAATTGCAAATCATGAGGTACAACTTTTGATGAATGCAAAACGTTACAAGTAGATTTATTCAACTTTCCTAAAGACATAAGGGACGAAAACGACAATTTTGGATCATAAAAGTAAAGGCCTTGACTATGCTTACCAATCCCCTTCAACTTGCCATTGCAAAGATCCTGAATGAGGCAAAAATCAGGATAGAAAGTAACGAAAAAATTGTTAGAAATAGCAAGTTTTGAAACAGAAGTAAATTGTTATGAAAATCTGGGACATATAAGACATTTGGTAAGTGTAGGTTATCATCTAGAACAATAAATCCTACATTTGTAACATATATTTTTGTTCCATTCGGTAAAACTACAAGGTATTTGGAAGAACGTTCTATGGCAGTGGAATATTTCAACATAGACTGATTAAAAGTCGTTGATCAGTTGCTCCAGTATCAATTATCCAGTTATTTTCATCAAAATATGATAGCAAGGCCATAGAATTACCTGTAAGATTTGCAGTTGAAGGCGATACATTCTCCTTTCCTAGCAACTGAAGAATTTGAGTATACTGTTCAGTAGTCAGAATTGGTCCAATTGTTGCATTAGTGTTTCCAATATCAGATTTTCCAACATCTAACGACTCAGAGCTCTGCACTTGATAAGCCGAAGCTTTTGATTTAGAAGTCTGTCCCTTTGTGAATTGATAGTCAGGTGGAAATCCATTTAGCTTATAGCAGGTTTCACGCTTATGTCCAGGGATGTGACAAAACTCACACTCGATATATGGTTTTTTTCCCTTATACTTCTGTCCCTGACTTTGCCCTTTACCATTTCCATTATTATGTGCATAAATTGCAGTAGACACTTCTGAATTCAAATTCATTCCAGCCATAATTTTTTGACTCTTATCTTGATTGACAATAGAATAAGCTTGTTTCACTGTCGGTAAGGGGTTCATAAGCAAGATTTGACTTCGAACCATGAAGTATGAATCATTCAGCCCCATAAAAAATTGTAACACTTTCTGTTGATTCAAATGCTCCAAATAGGCCTTTGCCAAAGCACTATCAGGTGTAGGTAAGTTTACCAAAGAATCAAGCTCATCCCAAAGTGACTTGAGCTTATTATAGTAAATGGCTACCGCGGTGGTTCCTTGGGTTAAATTCACAATTTCCCGATGAAGAGCAAACACTCTAGTTCCGTTCACTTTGTGGTATTGTTCTTTCAAATCTTGCCAAACTTGTGCAGTGCTTGTTGAATAGACTATTCCATTAAAGATTTCCTTTGACACCGAATTAAAAATCTAAGCAAGGACCAATGAATTACACCTCTCCCATTGTGGAATCAAGTTAGAGTGTACAGATGACTTAGTGCATTTGCCATTAACAAACCTTAGCTTGTTCTTAGCACACACAGAGACTGTCATTGCTCTACTCCAGATGCCATAATTTTCAGAACCAATCAACTGTTCTGAAACCAATATAGATCCTGGTGTGTCTGATGGATGTATGTAAAGCGGTGAGTTGGAGTCAATTGAGGGAATATTTACTCCTTCTGTCGAATTCGCTATAATATCTCTTAAACTTCAAAACCCAAGTCGGATCAACTAAAGACTATGAAATATGAAATTTAAGAACGAGAAGAGAAATTGACAAACTCAAAGCTTCTTCAAATTTGTCTAAGATGCAAGAATGGGCTTTAATTGACCTGGGTTTTGATTTGAGAAGCGGAAGTTTGGTGCTCTGATACCATGTTGAGAGAGCAAAAGAAACAGAGGAAAGCTGAAAATTGGGCAAAATATCGATTGACTTTATTGAATAAAAAATGGTTTCTTATATACAAGCTAACTGTAGTTACATTTGAGCTGAGTTGAAGTAAGCAAAACTAACTACTAAGCAACTCTAACAACTAACCAATCTGATTAACCAAAATAACTTACAACATGTTTTGACTAAACTACCCTTATATTTGCAATAGTATATGGTACTTTTAGCCATATGTGGAAATATTTCAATGTTCTTCACTTTGTCATATTTGGTGAGAATTTGAATATGAATGCTTCATAAGCTTTCCAGTCCTGGAACTATTTTGTGGCAATAAACCTGAAAGATGTTTTGACTTATTATTAATATTTGCCATAAAAGTGTACACTTCTGACAAATACTTTTCTTTGTGTGTATATATATGAATAATTATCATTTATTTTGCTTGTGCTACCATTCAAAGCTTAGGAGAAGATATCAGGGATGTGTTTATCGGACAGGATCCAAGCAGTCTCTTTTATGGTCCATTTGAAAACAACTTTGCATTGTTTTGCTCCTAGATTTCACTCTGTAGTTTCAGCATCCATAGAATCAGTTATGGACTCCAGTTGAATACATAGTATCAGGATCATGCATTGAACCTTGCAATATCATCAATTTTTTTATTGCAAAACTATTTAGTGGTTATGAAGATTGTTATCTGCAAGGTCTGTTTGCCTTGACATTTCTGTGGATTGATTCTTTCATGTCCCTGTTGGGTTCATTAAAAACAATTTCATGGATTTAATTCATGCCTTTGTCTCAGTCTTTCTTAACATTTTTAAGTAGAAACCGATGTCTCCCTTCAAATTTTTTTACAGTTATTGCATTCCTTTCCTTTTGTCTAAATATTTGAGTTCAATGACCTGATCTCTCAAATTAAAACTTTATGGGTGAAGATGTTGAAATGGGAAAAAAAATTCAGGTGTTATGCTGACTCATCGAAATTTTGAATAATCATTCTTATAGCACTATTATGTTCTTCACCTATTGGATTCATTCAGTTTATTGGTTTTATTTACTTGGAATGGAAACTCAATTGTTCTAATGCAATGCAACCATTTTGGGTTGTGATTAGAGGTGGAACAAATGGGCCCGGTTAGGCAGGTCAACCCTAACCCGGCCCGCATTAGAGATGGTTCGACCCGACTCACATTAGAGAGGGTTCAACCCGGACCGCCTTATAGGCGCGCCGAGTTGAACCCAACCCACATGCAACCCTCGGGCGGGGCGGGTTGCTATATGGCAACCCGCCAACCCGACGGGTTGCTATTTTGTTTGCATTAGCCAACCCGGCGGGTTGGCCAAAAAAAAAAATCATTTTTTTCAAGTTTCCCTCGTTTTTTTAATTCTTTTAATTAAACTATTATGATTGAACTCTTACAAATAATTTTACACAATAATATTAAACTATACTTCTAAATCATAAATATTAAAATGTATAAAACTTCGTAATATTTGACATATTATTATTATTATTTTTTCTAGTACGTAAAATATAAAAAAAATAAATACTAAAGTCTTATTCTCAAATTTCCTTGTCTTGTATAAAATATAATTTATTCTTCTGCTAAAGTTTCATTAATTGAATGAATAAATCTAATTTTTCTTATATTACAATTTTATTGTATTAAAATTGAATTAATATTTGAAATTTTAACAAAAAAAATTTAATTTAATTTAATTGAATTATTGATATTTGAAAAGTTAACTAAAAACAATTACATTTATTCATTTATAAATTGTTAATTATTTATTTGAAAAGTTAAATAAATAAAACAAAATAAAATAAAAAATAAAAAAATAGGGCTAACCCGGCCCGGCCCGCAGCCTAACCCGACGGGTTAGGGTTGCCGGGTCAGGCTAGGCTAGCCATTTCCCCAAAAATGGCGGGCCTAACCCGGCCTGCCTTTGTTGGCGGGCGAGTTAGGACCAACCCACCTAATTAAGTAACCCGCCGCGGGCCAGGTCGGGTTGGGCCAGGCCGGCGGGTTACTTTTCCACCTCTAGTTGTGATAAAGCCAAATTATGTATATTTGGAAGAGTAAACGACTTTTTCACACCCAAGGTTTGCCTTAATGACACTTCCCCGCCCAAATTTTATATTCCATTAATATCTAAAAAATACTTCAGTTTCTTAATCGGCGTTCAATGAGTTATCAAGAGCTAGGATAAGAAGGTTTTTGTAGAGTGGAGTCAATAGATTGAATGGTTGTAACCGATTGAATATTTGTTGTTGGAATCAGTTGAAAATCAGCAAAGAATAAGAAATCCTAGATTTGCTATGGTTGACAACTGGCGAGAAATCAGGTGTCAGAGTGAGAGGGGTTTTGTAGAGAGAAGACCGAAGGTTTAAATGGTAATCACAGAGGAAATTTTTATCGCCAGAATCGGCTTTGGGTAGTAACGAAATATTAACTTTGGGTGAAAAAGTGGTATTTTGAAACTTTTCGGGTGGGAAATGTCATTAAGGCAAATCTTGGGTGGGAAATGGTTTGTTTACTCAACTTGGAATCGTGGAAACTTAAAAGAGAACCTCGTCGGCCGATCGTATAATGAGTGTTGTGTCTAAAAAGTCCCTAAAATTGAAGTAAAATTACAACTTCTACCCAATTTGGATCATTTTGTTGAGTAATGTTATAGTCATTGAAAGTAGTGCATCGAATTTGTACATCGAATGACGTGACACAATCCTGACGGTCGATTTATTATAACTTAATATTAATTAACGGTCAGGATTGAGTCACGTTATTCGATACACAAATTTGTTGCACTACTCTTTGTTGCACTACTACTCATACACAAATTTGTTGCACTACTCTTCGTTGCACTACTCTTAGTGACGGTAACATTACTCAACAAGGATATTGATAAATGATAACCATGCCACTGCCACCCCTACGCTCTTACTCTCACCACCCTCGCATTTTCTCAACGTCCATCTCACTCCTAAACACCCTCCGCCGATCAATGACTACCGCACCGGTCACGGAGCTCATGAGTCCATCCAACACTCGCGTGGGCTGGATTGGCACAGGCGTAATGGGCCGTTATATGTGCGGTCACTTACTCAAAGCCGGCTATACAGTCACCATCTTCAACCGCACCATCGCCAAAGCTCAACCACTCCTCGACATGGGAGCTCACCTCGCTGATTCCCCCCACGCCGTCGCCTCCCAATCCGACGTCGTTTTCTCCATCGTCGGATACCCTTCCGATGTGCGCCACGTCATCCTTCACCCCGCCTCCGGCGTCCTCTCTGGCCTCCGTCCTGGTGGAATCATCGTGGACATGACCACATCTGAACCTTCACTCGCCTGCGAGATATCCGCCGCGGCCTCCTCCAAAAACTGCTCCGCAATCGACGCTCCTGTCTCTGGCGGAGACCGCGGTGCCAAAAACGGGACGCTTGCGATATTCGCGGGAGGGGATGAATCCGTTGTAAACAAAGTGAATCCCCTATTTTCCCGCTTGGGGAAAGTTAATTACATGGGTGGCAGTGGGAAAGGCCAATTCGCGAAGCTAGCTAATCAAATTACGATTGCTTCTACAATGTTGGGATTAGTAGAGGGAATGATTTATGCTCACAAAGCAGGGCTAAATGTGGAATTGTTCTTAAACGCCATATCCACGGGAGCCGCCGGGTCCAAGTCGTTGGACTTGTACGGTAGTAGAATATTAAAGAGAGATTTTGAGCCGGGCTTTTATGTGAATCATTTTGTAAAAGATTTAGGGATTTGTTTAAAGGAGTGTCAAAGTATGGGACTTGCTTTGCCTGGGCTGGCTCTGGCGCAGCAGCTTTATTTGTCGCTCAAGGCGCATAGAGAAGGCAATTTGGGTACTCAAGCGTTGATTTTGTCTCTCGAGAGGCTTAATAACGTTTCTCTTCAATCTGTAGCTTCTTCCGAGCCGTCGGCTTAAATTGGTAAAAATGTTTCATATTTATGAGCTTGTATTTTCATCAATAGTATCAACATTTTACTGCTGTTTGAGTTAAATTCCTGTTGGGTTTGTAACTGTTGAAATGTGATTTTATCTTTGCGTTGATTTATGGATGTTGAAGATATCAGTAAACATGAATGGAAATATTGTATGGTCTATGTCAAAGTAACGTAGAATGCTCAGTGTATCAAGCTTTTGTGTCTTATGTTGGTTGATGAATTGCTTCCTGGTTTTGAGGCAAAGGATTGCATTAGTATACACGGAGGTTTCTGTTTATTTGTGTTGGTAACAAGTTGTTTTGGCAATAGTTACTCTTGCAATCTCTTTTACTGATAACAGAGATTGAAGATTGCGATGCTATTTTATATGATTCATTATTTATATGTAATATCTTTGTGTTCATAAGTGGCTTTTAGATTACCTGTATGCTGGCAAACAGAATTGGTTCGTGAAAGTTTTATGTTTAAGGATGTTTGTGAGATGGCATCAAATACAGACACGGTACTTTTAAGTATTCCTCTAGTGAATATCATTGGCTTGCTCTAGGTGAAGAGCTTTAGATATGACTTGATCCATATCTTTACAATTCAGTGCTAGAAAATTCTATATAATATAGCTGAAAGGGTGACTGCATCTTGCAAGAAGTTTAGTCCTCCATAATGAAGTTATTCATCTTTACAATTCAGTGCTAAAAAAATCCTATATCATATGGCTGAAAGGGTGACTGCTTCTTCCAAGAAGTTTAGTCCTCCATAATGAAGTCAAGAAAGAGCGGATTTAGGGATCAATTAATAAGAAGCTTAAGGAACCTTACCTAGTCAATTTGAAGTCAATTTAGACAATGTTTTACGTACTTTTGAAAAGTTTTGCTAGTTCAAGTATATTTTTATTAAGTTCAAAAGTAATAGTAGATCTATGGTATCCATCATTGGAAAGTAGTGTTTTCGCATTTGGCATCACGCTACCATGGTTTTTGCTACTATCCCATGTCACTAACCATTAGAGGCTATGAGTGTTGGGTCAATTATGTTGCTTTGCAGTTTGCTTCTTTCAAAGATCAAATACGAAACATGTATGCTAGTTCATGAAATGTTGATATATGCCACATAGATATATGCAGCTGTTTTACAAAGATTCATGTTTTCTTTGACCCTTAGACGTAGCTCATTTTCCAGATCATAAAATATGATGTCTAAATAAATTTAATAGTAAGTCTTTTGTTAGGTTTTTTCTTGACTAGAAAGGCACAATGCATGGTATTTTCTGAAACTGAAGCTTACACAATACACCTGTCCCTTTTGCAATAATACAAGCATGTTACATTATCAGTAATAGGTTTCCACTCCGGAATCTTTTAATGAATTTAGTTATGATAAAATCATGATATATTTAGTATGTTATTCACTTTCTATTTATTATTTCATCATGAGTTTCTAGTAAATAAAGGAAGGGAGTTCAAATGTCACCTATAAAAAATGGGAGAGTAAATGTGATGTGAGAGAATAGGATTAGTTTTTAGAATTAGGCTTCGTTTGTTTCGCTTTTGGGAATACTATTATTAGTATTCCCAAAAAAGTTAAACAGTAAAATGTCATTATTCCCAAAATATTATTCTATATTTTTCAATTTCTTTTAAACTTCTTAAATTTGTTAATTTAACTAAACACCCCCAAATATTTTTTTTAGAAATTGCAAAAACACTTTGGCCACCCTCCGGCGGTGGTGGCCGGCTGTCCGTATTTAATGGGTGGGTTGGAGGTGTTTTTGTTAACTTTTAATATTTTATTATAGGGGTGTTTAGTAAATAAACAAACACAGGAGATATTTTTGTTAATTTCCAAATCCTACATTGTAATACCCGCCCAATTTAACTTTTTTCAAAAGATTATTCTAAAAACTATCAGAATAATGAACCAAATGGAATCTTAGTATTTTTAGGATATTATTGCAATTATTAGTGTCTGGATTAGGATTTTATTTGTGATTATATTTTTAGGATTAGAGTTATTAGAATTTATCTTTCATTAGTATTTGTTTTGCCAAGCTTATAAATACGTCTTGTATTTGTTTTGTTAAGCCTATGAATATTTGTGGGAAATGTTAAGAGTGTATAGACTAATAAAATAGCGTTAAGAGTTGTTTTCGCATTTCTTGCTATCTCTTCTTAACTTATCTTAATTTTCTCTGTCTCCCTATTTCTTGTAGCTAAACCTGTCTTCTTAATTACATCTATTTTACACTATTTGTCTAATTATTTGTTAAATTTGTCTTATTCTTAATTATATATTTTTATATCTGTTTGTATTATGTTTTCTCCCTCTGCTTCAATTTGGTATCAGGGTAAGTTTTGGTTTTTTTTCTTAAAAGCTTCTGTACAAATGGGGTTTATGGCCAAAAAAATTATGAATGGGAATTTTAGGGTTTTCGTTGTGTCTAGTGTTTTTGTTACGAAAATAACAAGAAACTTGAACTTGCTTTGAAATCAAATTGATTTAGAAGAGGAATAGACATATAGATTAAAATAGATATAGTCAAGAATAAGACATATTTAGATAGAAAATTAAGAAATAAGTCATCAAGAAATAGGGAGATGAAGAAAACTAAAACAGGTTAAGAGGAGAAATCAAAGAAGAGATAGTGAGGAACAGGAGGAGAGAAAAAATAAAACAGATAGATTAAAATAGATGTAGTCAAGAATAAGACAAATTTAGATAGAAAATCAATAAATAAGCCATATCAAGAAATAGTGAGATGGAGAAAACTAAGATAGGTTAAGAGGAGAAATCAAAGAAAAGATACCAGAAACCTCAAAATCAACTCTCAAGTCTCAATGATATTTTATTGGTCAATTCACCATAATGTTTCCCACAAATACCAGATGTATTGTAGGCTTGACAGAACAAATACTAATGAAATTCAATAATTCTAATCCTAACAAATGAAATCCTAGATAAACAATGACACATTGAAATAAAAGGTACTCTTGAAATAACCATAAAAAAATGCTAATTCTCTATCAAAATGTGAGACTTAAAGAATGTTTTTAGTTGCATATGGAGGTATATGTTCAAGCTTCCTTGTCAACTAGATATTTCCAAAAGATGTGATCAGCAACTTAGATCATTTATATTTCTGTAGTCCAGAAGAGGAAATATATGTTCAAGCTTCCTTATCAACTAGATATTCCCAAATGACGTGGCTAGCAACTTAGATTTTTTTATATATCTGGGAAATGCTAAATCACAGAGACTTCTCACCTTTAGCATAGTTTGTTCAAACTTCCTAGCCTTGGAGAAAAAAATTGGAGTTAAAAATCAAGAATGTCGGTGAGTTTATTGTGGCATATTCTGGGGAAGAGATTTTCTTACCTAATATCTGTATTGTTCATGAGTTTTTTC